TTTTTTTTTTTTTTTTTTTTGCATGTTTGGCGTATGGGAGTGCATGACTTAGGGGTTTGAGGGAATCTTGGGGATCTTGGTCTTCGTACTAACCAATGGGCAAGCGAGGGAGCCGAGCGGGGCGGCTGCTGCAAGCAAGACCAAACATGGACGGGGAGTCGGAGATTTCGATGCGACAATTGGGTAGGGTGAAAAGGGGATGGATCCAGGGTCAAAGAGAGGTCAGAGGAGAGACCTCGACGTTCTCTGGGGTCGGCCATGGGGCTTCCTTGGGTGTCTGAAAAGCTACGGCTTGAGCCGGGTGCAAGGCCACGATGTGAGTCAGGCTCACAAGTGACAATCATCCGCGTATAGCGGGTCAGTCAGGAAGGCGCAATCGAGGAAAGACTCCCCATTCAGCGGGGGCGTACACGAGAAGTCTGGGCCGGGTTGGCATGGAAGACCAAGTGCTGGAATCTAGGGACGACGGTCTGGGAAACATGTGACATCACGAGCAGGCATCTGCGAGACGATGGGGAATGGAGCGACGCATCTACAAAGGCGATCGGACTAGACACCGAGGACAGTTGGATTGAGAGGCAGGTGGTGGGGTTGGAGGACAACCTCCGTGAAGAGGACAGAGAAACTTCATAGGGAATCCGGCCTGACAGGCAAGCCAGTTTTCTCAAGATCGGGAGTTAGGATGAAAAGAGCGCGCCCAAGAAATCGGTGGGAGAGGGCGCCGAGAAATCGGCAAAAGATGTATCGAGAACGGGAAAGGGGCCCAGTACGGGCACTGATAAAGAAAGGAGTACGGGAGAAACTCCAGCGGGATAATACGGGAAGCCAACTGACAGTCAAGAAACAAAGGAAGATAGTGGCGCGCGCGCACGATATTTATTGCCAAACTATATTTCGTGGGACCAACCATAGGCTGAGTCAGAAAAGGGGAAGGATCGCAAGGGAAGAAGGATGACGGGGATTGGAAAAGGGGGGACAGCGGAAGAAGCTTAAGCCGTCCTATTTGATATTGGTTCGGAGGGGTGAAAGCTAGCAGGAGAATCATTGTTGTCCGACGTATCGAGAGCGCGGGAGAGACCTGGTACGTGCACTGATAAGGCAGGAAGTGCGGAGAAATCCAGGAGGCCAACCGACAGTCGAGAAGCCGAAGAAGACAGGGGGGGGGGCTTGTGTCCTATACTTCCTGCCAACGGTATTCCGCAGGGAGAATTGGGATCCGAGAGGAAGACGATGGAGGGCAGTTATTGGTTGAATCAGAGAATAATGAGGATCGTGGGGGAAGAGCGAAGAAGGTGAGGAGCTAGGGGGAAATCGACGGGGGATTGAGAAAAATTTTGGAGGGGGGTCTGCGCGCTTTGAAAAATTTCGAAAAGAGCGGTTAGCAGGAGACATCGTAAGGAGGGAGGGATGCGATT